TTGGCTTTCCTAGTTCTGATTCACTTGCTGGGCTTCAACTTAGGTGTTTTCTTTTCTATGAGAAGTGCAACCTTCAGCCCTCAAGGTTAGGGCTGGTGTCTCCTACCAAAGCCAATAGCAGTCCAAATTCACCCAATAATTTCTTCTTATTTGCATCTGTTCCAGAAAAAAGGACCTCTGAGAAGCTAGAAACTAGGCGCAGTCACCATTACATGCAGAACTCCAGGACATCAGCTTAACAATATAAATAGCATTAAGGGCACTGAATAAACAGAAGCAACAATGACTGCTGACTTTGTGGAGCTCTTTACAAGCTGGACACAATGCAAAGCAACTGACACATGTTGTCTCACTAGATCTTCCCAATGATTCCACCATAGAGGAGACTTGGCCATTATCCTGAGTTTACAGGTGAGAAAACAAGAGGCTCAGTGGTTGATATCCTAGCCCAAGATCACTGGACCAGAAAGTAGGAGAGCTAGACTCTAAGACCTCTGTGTACAGGTAGGGTCTCCATTACGAGACAGCCTGAGGCTCAGAACCTTGCCACTGCTAGCTCTTTCCCTCCTCCTTCCAGACCATTCTACTGTCAGGAGTGACCTAAAACCCCTTCTACATGTACCCCTCCCATGTCATGCTGAAGTCTGCGCACAGAGCACTGTTTGAAAGCACAGGAGGAAGGTCTTCATTTACAAACAGGAGGAGCATCATCTACAAGACTTGACCTGGCACCTGCTACCAGATATGGCACAGAAGGGGGACTGCATAAATGTGTCTTTAAATTGAGCTTGGTTGAATGAAAGGAACTAGTGAGTGTGTAATCTGGCCATGTTTGGGGATTTCCTAGCTGCCAACTAACACGATCATTCTCTCCAAGAAGTAGTTAGGCCTATGCCAATACCCTTGGCTATCCTGCTCACTTGCCACTAGCCTCCAATTGCTTAAATGAGAGAAAAGATTATCAAGAGGCAGAAGGAGGGAGAGGAACGACGAACAGCTATAAACTTGTCACTTTGGAAGGAAAGTGGACTCTTTACAGTGACAAGGTTACCATTTAGCAAACAGCAATGGCATCCTGTTTCAACTTGAAGACTAGAAGTAGGTCTTTCCCCCAAAATAACCTTTCTTCCCATGAGAAGACTACGTTATAATTTATGTTTCTTTTTGTGCACAAATTTGAGTGTCATAAAAATGGTTAAAAAGTCTTCCTATGGTAGCTTTTTCTAAACTTTTATGAACATCTGCCACATTCATTTGAAGTTTAAAAAATCCTGGCACATATGCAAAGGCATAATAAGGTGCCTATAGCTTTCAAGAAAAAATAACAAGCCAGTCAAAAATAAGCCTTTTGCTGAATTGCCAGTACGAAAGCTAGTGTTGTGAGAGGAGCTGGGCCTCCCCCAACCCTTTCCTTAAAGAGCTCTCCTTGGCCCGAAGTCCATACTCCTCCCTGAGCACTGAGTTTCTGTAGGAAATCTCAGGAAGTGGCTGGAGCACTGAAGGCCCTGCCAGAGTCACATAAACCTAGTCGGCACTGGTGATTCCCATGACTTTAGATAGCAGGCACAGCAGGGCCAGGAGTCTGCGCTCAAGTCCTGGAGAGCAAGAGAAAGAATTTCAACACTTGGTGGTGAGGGTGGGGGGGGGGCAAGCCCATAAGAAACACTTTTTTTGTTATTGTTTTTCAGAAAACTGGCTTAAGCAATTTATGTTTAGTTTTTCCTTTGGTCCTGACCATACAGGGGTTCAGCACAGCAACCTCAATCAGTGGGGCCCAGATCGACTTAGCTGATGCTTCCTGAATCTTCTTACCTTAAGTCCCTCAAAGGCTGGGCAGAACAGATTTGCACCATTTGCCTAAAGTGCTTTAAGTTTCAGCTTTAAAATATATGCATACCCTGTATGCTTTACCATAAAAAGGCTTACTCTGTGTTACTTAAAAATCACATAACAGGTAAAAAATTTACCTGTGTGTGTGTGTGTGTGTGTGTGTGTGTGCGTGTGCAGGTGCGTGGACCTGTGCTCATGTGTGGAGCCCAGAGCATGTCAGCCATCCTGCTCTAGCACTCATCACCTTCCTTCTTTGAAATAGGGTCCCTCACATAAAGTGGAGATAGCTGGAGACCAGCAAGCTCCAATGATCCTTAGGGTTTCTGCCCCCAACAGCACTGGATTCACAGGCATGAGCGGATACAGTTGACTTTTTACATGGGTGCTGGAGATTCAAACTCAGGTCCTCATGCTTGTACAGCAGTTGTATCCACTGAGCCACCTCCCCAGTGCCACCTCTCTCTTCTTTACATATAATGATGGGACTGAGTTGCCTACCAATAGTGCAGGCTATTGGAGGGTTTAAAATGTGCTCCAAATTACAACTCCCAAGCATTAACTTCATCCCTCAAAGCTGTGACTCACACAGTATCACCTGCTTGACACCCTGCTAAAGATGCTGAACCCACCACAGTGGATGATATACAGTCTTTGTTCTTGTAGAATTCATGCTCCAGGGGACACGATGAGGGGCAGGAAAGCAAACAGCTATAATTCAGATAAGAGGTTCCACAACTGAAAGAGGATAACAAGATGGAACATTTCCTAGAAGAGCCAGAGAAGGGCAGGGTTTATCTACGCAGACATGCTGGGAATGGGAACTGTTTAGGGATCGGTCCAAGCACGGCTATGTGTTTTTTCAGCAATCAGGCAGAAGGCTTGACAGCAGTGGAGAAGCCATGGGGAGATGGGGGCAGTGCAGAGTGGGAATGGAAGGTGGGCCATGGAGACCAGGTACAAGGCAGCACACTCCATAAGGGGGCTGAGGACCGAACCATATACTCATTTTTGTACCTTCAGGACTGAGTACAATGCTTGAAACATAGAAGGCCCACATTTTGTTACCAAATCAGTGAATAAGGCTTTGCAAAAATTCAAGGAAGCAAAGGAAAAAAGCCAGTGAAGGCAGTGAGGAAGGAGCAAAGTGACTTCAGAGACTTGGGGAGTATTCCCCAAGAATGAACAAGAAAGGAGAGCTCTCAGCCATGCCTAGTGCACCCCACTTTGGGGCATCTATAGGGAGGGGTGCCATTCACAGGGTCCCAAAACACCAGAAGGGAGTGGAGTGCTCAGAATGTGTCTGCATGGACATGCTCACATGTGTGCAAATAATAAACTATTGGGAAAAGATTGAGACAGCTGTGGTACATCTAGGGGAGATGCAGTAGATATTTGAAATTCGGACCTAAATCCAGAGAGAGGCAGAGCAGCATTACAGTCAGAGATGAATGCCAGTAACTCTGATTTGGTGCTTAAGAAAAAAAGCCTTCAACTAGATGGCTGGAGGGCATGCTGAGAAGAGAAGCAAGTTAAGACCAGATATTTGGAGAATGTTGAAGGTATTGGGACATGAGGGGTCTAGAAGAGCTTGTGCTAGAGCAGACCGGAAGGCAGGAGGAGAGGCAGGAGGGAACCGTGGACGTTGATAGACCAAATACTCTTTACTGTTTTAAGCTCTATAACAATTGGCACAAAAGGTCCATTAGAAAGTATTTGCTTTTAATTTTTTCGTATGGAATCTTTGAATAGACTCCCCCGCCCCCAAACTTAACAAACAAAGGTAAAACACACATGAAATCTCTTCAGTCTGATCTAAATCCATCATCCAAGATAGTCCATAAACTGTGTACTGTATGTGCTTAGGGCTGGGTGATGACAGGGAGGGACTGTTAACAGAATGTAGGAGCCACATGGCTGTCCTGTCAAATTAGAAATTTGAGCAGATTTCTGCGGTCTATTTTGATCAAGATTCTCAATGTCAAACAAACAGGTTTTTTGATAACCAACTCGTTTCATTTTCGTAAGCACAATAGCACAGTGTGCAACAGTTAGTGGGAAAGCAGGTGGTCCTCGTCGTGAAGTGAAGGGAACAGAAGAAGAGAAGTAGCACTTCCTCAGAGCATGCTAAGCACCCTCGCAGGAGGCCTTGCTGTAGATGTCCTCCCAGAGCTCCTCCTGTGCTACACAAGCCAGCTGACCAGCCCCACCCTGATCTGCACCCTTACTGAAGTCTGCTCTCTTTTAAGGAGGGAAAGCATTGAGGCTCAGGTCTACAAACTTAGGGCACGCACAAAAGCACAGAAGAGTCCGTTAAAAGCACTGCTATCTAATTGGTACAGCCACACGGAAAGCAATCTGGCATCAGACTCATATTTGACCAAGCATTTCTTCTTTAGAGATTCTGGGCTAAGGAAATAAGTCAGAATGCAGATAAAGCCTTATGCATAAAGATGCTCACTGAAACACTATTATAATAGTGAAAAAATGATAAACAGTACAAGTGCCCAACAGTAGGAAAATGGTTAAGTCACAAGAATGACAGGTAGCAAATTGGAAACTATTGTCACTGAGGGTAGATAAAATCATAGGGACTCTCACACCATAATGCTAAGAGAAACAGACATAAAATCACATCACTTGTGCACATTATATATAACATATTTGCAAAGTAAAGACTAGAAGGAAGAACAGTAAAATGCTAACAGTGGTTCAATCTGGAACAATGGCAACGTGGAGAGTTTTCATTTTTCTCTTCATAACTTCTATATACCATTTATATCACATTTTCTAAAATGAGAATGTAAGTGCTACAGTGACTTAGAACAAATGCTATTATGAAAAACAAACTGTTTTCCTTCCCTTGTTCATGCCCTCATGCAACCTTTCCTCCTGCCCCTCCTCCCATGTTCACCCAGGAAAACCCACTATCTCCAACCAAAGCAGAAAAGCCCAGAACATAAAAGACAGTGGGAAGGGTCTATAAGTTGATTGCTGGGATCTGTGACATGGTGGGGGGGGGGACAGGTGAGCATCTGCAAGGTGTGCATGAGCAGCTGCTTCGACTGCTCCTGTGTGCAGAGAGAGCTACATATCCCCAAATCGTGTTTTCTACTGAATAAAGCAAAACCAAACCCCACATCAGGGATCAGGGAGGAAAGAAGCCAACTTACCTCCATTAAACTTAGATGGATTCCTATGAGGTAGGGCATGGGAGCGCTGTGAAGAGAAACAGAGACACACAGCTGCTTTAATGTCTGTTGCTTCCGACAGAAAATTACAGATGGTTCACTATTTAGAGAAAAACTGTTTTAATAAACGTATGCACAGTTACATTTCCTTTCACAACAAAAATCTTAATGTGACATTTTGTTCCCAAGCCTAGAAACTTCCGAAGAATTTCAAAATGCAGCCAGTACCGGAGACAGCACTGGTGACAAGAAGAGCATCAACCTCAAGTGTTAGCCATGAACCCTAAACAGCAGCTCTGCAGCTGTGTGGTCTCAGTTACCTTCTCTTTGAAATGGGATTCTAGGCTCAACTCAGCCTGTTGTTATTAGAATGTTATTAGAATGTAATGTATGTTTTTACCTCATTCTAATACAAATAGCAACTATGGTCTTAACAATATAATGGAAAAAACAACAAAGGTTTCATGGAGGGCTAATGAGCTAATGGATCCTTTACTGGCTGTGTCCTACAATGAAGAGATGTGACCTAACTGTCCTTTCTACGTGAACCAAGTATTTGAAGAGCTTCCAACAAGCTTCTCCATGCCATGGCAACATGCCATCAGGTCACAGAACAATTGATACAGGAAAGCCTTAAATTCACTTTCCTAATCCACATGATAACCTCTGTTCTAGAGGAAGAAATAGACTAAAGAGGTTAGAGCATTTATCTAATGCCATAAAGCCAAGTAGACGTAAACCCAAACTAAACTGTGACTCTAAAGTGTGTGCCACACTGTCTGTGACATGGTCCCCAGGCACTGCCCACACCACCTTCCTTGGGAATATGGGAGGAAGGCCAAGAAGTAGAGAGAATGGGGATGACTGGCAATGTTTGTCTGTCTAAGCATGTGATCCATCCTACAACACGGGCAGAGGTATGTTTCAATGAAGTCAGAGGCAAGCTGCTTGGTTTGGACTGGACTGACCAAGGCACTTTGGGGGAGTTAAAGTGGATGGATAAGGATATCTCTTTGGCTGCAGAGCTGGGGAAACAATGAGGCCGGAGACAATTGCAACAGAGAAGTTCATGCTTTATCTGAAAATCCATGGGGAGGCAACTAAGGTTTTTAAACATTAGCTGTATGCTTAAAATTTGTTCAAACATTTAAAAAATAAGAGGACAAAATTCCCTCATTACTATTCAATAAATAAAAATTTTCAAGCAAAAACCATCCTCTGGAATATAAAATGTCCTCTTCCTAGAGTGCTCAGCAATCACGCACGCATCTCAGGAGTTTGGAAGACGGACTTGAACATTAGCAGCACAGCTTGAGAACTATTCTTCTAGAAGACTTTGTATCTGATAACAGCCAAAGGGAGAAGTGCACACACAAAATGAGTAAAAATGAGTAAAAAATGAGATGACCTTTCTCTCATCACCTTTTTCCACCCTTTTCTGGTTTTCTGGTATCTGCAGGGCACATGCAGCTTCTTTTCGCTTCCAGGGGCAAGAAAATGCCCTGCAACATTTTTGCCCCTTAAACTGTAAACCATTAGCTTAGCTGCCAACTACACAAATGCTCCAACTTCCCAGTGTGCCTGGCTTTGCTGTCTGAGCTTTCTCCAGCATACACTGAAATGAATGTGTTTCTAATTAAGTAGCTTCAGGAACACGACAGCTTCAATGTCAAAAATACAAAGTCTGAACCCCGGCAGGAAGTCTCAAGACTGCAAATGTCTCATCTGGTGGAAACTCGTCTAATGCAATGAGAGGAAGCAGGAAGAGTGCAGAATTCCAGAAAAAAACGGCCACTCATTAACGTGTCCAGAAGCACAGCCAGACATGGGGCAAAGCAAGTCCACAGCATTTAACTACAGCTTAGCAACTTTCCCAGCTCCTATGTAAAGCACACAACTGACCAGTAACCCATGCATTTTAAATAGAATTTCAGAACTGGAATTCCCAACAAACGAGTTAGCATACAGAAAGAGTCAAACAACCCTGAGAAGGTGAAAATAATCCCTACACCCTAAGCACTTGGTAAAACTGAACCACTGGCTGTTATCTAAAAGAAAAACATTTTCTAGAAACTAAGACGTAGTTTTTAACACCATGTTATTTTATCTTGTGGTGATACCCTGAAAGAGAAGGGAAGAGAGCCTCAAGAATGGGACAAGAGACGTCAGAAGGAACAAAGTGGGACTCACTCTTTGGACATATTTTTTCAAGTTCAGTAATTTTATGAAGAGTAATTTTGGCCTATCATAGAAAGGCAGCTTCTTAGCCAAGTACTGTTAGGACTGCAACAGCTCTGTATCTAGACAGTGTTTAAAGCTGGGGCTCTGGAATCAGGGTGGCTCTGTGTTTGCAGGAATGCAAATGTGGACAAATACCTTCTATACTGCCATCACTTGCGGATGCCTCAAATACCTCCCAGAACATTTTTGTTCTTTGAATTTGTAATTACAAATTCTGAGGGAGAGGGGGAGGTGCAGACCCCTGTTAGCACCTCAAGGTGGCAAGTGCAGCAGTGGGTAATTCTAGGTGTGTTCTGGGCACAACTTCTATTCTCTGTCTTCCTCAATTATTGCAGCTACTACTCATTTTCTTCTTTTTGCCTTTTTATTATAAAAACCAATGAGAGGTATACCTGTCTGTAAATATAAGGATACATATTTAGCATACAGTAGGAAATTATATGTGTCTGGGGATGTGGCAACATAGGGTTTTCTCTAGGCTCTATGACCTCTTCAGTCATGTGTATTTGGCTATGTTTATTGTACCACACATGGGTTCCCTCCCATTCAGCATACTTTAAGTCCAATTAGATAGCTGTTGATTACCCCAAGATAAAAGTGCCACTATTGCACCAATAGCGATGTCAGTCATTGTTATGGTTATTAGGCTTTACAGCTGGAATTGGACCACTGATTGGTTTTCTCCCTTAGCAGCCTGCATAGTATCCTCTGAAACTATGAGAGCTAGTCTTCAGGGAGGAGGCTTCCAGGTCAGTGGCATCTCCACTGCTCCAAGTCCTGTGTCCAAAGTTTGTCTTGATTTGACCTCTTTTCTCTCCTCTCTCTTCTTTTTTCCCTGTCTCTCTTCCTCTCTTCTGCTGTCCTCCCCTCCCCTCCCCTTCCCTCCTCTCCCCTCCCTTCGCCTCTCCTCTTCTCGCTTCTCCTCTCCTCTCTCCCCATGTCTCTTGCTTCCTCTCTGCCACCCCTCACAGATGTGACTTGGTACTAATAACAGGCAATTAGTTCAGCTCCCCCTAGAATGAGTCCTCTTCACTCCCCACCTCTTTGGCTTCAGTAAGCCTCAGACTTGTTCCAGGCTCTCATGACTGCAGCCCTTTCCAAGGAGGTAGGTCCTCACACAAATTTGAAAAATGTGTAAATAAAAATGTACCTACGCTATGGATTAATTAAAACAGCAGGACTTTCCAAGCAAGGCTATGCCATGTAACATGTTCATCTCCTTCTAGTCCAAAGGCGGAAACTACCTTCTAAAGTAACAGTACATCTCTTGAGAAAATGAGTCAAAGTGTGGATGGATTTGGGTTTAGGAAAAAAGAAGGGGGGGTTGCTTCCCCATAGAAGACCCCCCCCCAGACACACAGAGATATGCATACACAATACACACATACATGTACACATAATACACACATACAAGAATACACACACATACACACATATAAGAATATACACACCCAAGAATACACACACATACAGCCATACAAGCATACAAACAAATATACACATATATGGGAATACACACACACGAATACACACACACAGTTACTACATACAACTACGTTCATTGTTGCTTACAGATGAATGAATGACAAAGTTGGATGTCTTTTCCTAGTAAGAATTTTATAGTAAAACTTAAGAATATATTAATATAAGACAACAGCATACATACTTGTACATAAATATTTTAGTTTGGTAAATGGGATTTCTGTGGCTGAACTCTAATGAAGAGGTTTGGGGTCACTGTATTTGAATAAAAGTATCCAAATAAAAGTATGTCTAACTAAAAAAAAAAAAAAGCAACTTTTTGTGGGGGCGTGGGAGCTACCCATGATTATGTCATCTAACACAACTACCCTTATGTTGGCCTCATCTTTTTTGAAGGTTAACCTAAATTAAGGATTTCACATCTTTGAAACTAATAGCATATATTTTGTTTTCTAGATGTCCACATGTTAACATTTTCCATATTGATCTAGAGTATCACTGTGATTATTATTTTAAAGGCTGCATAACATTCCATTTAATATGGATGTACCATAATTTATTTAATCCTATCTCTGGAATTAGTCAATAAGTTGCTTCTAATTTTTCATTAATATAGGAAACACTGTAATGAAAACAAACAACTTCACATACATGGCATGAACTCCCAGACATGAATCACCAGGGTTATTTTTCACATGTCTTTTTTTTTTTTTCCTGGCCAGGTGTTTCCAAAAGAGCAGTACCTGTCCTGTAGAGATCTTTCAGGATTGCTACAAGACTGAAGATAATCCATGAGGTGCCCGCTGCAAGAGAACCCTCTTGGGGGACACTCAGAAAGTGACTGTCAAGTCCAAAGGGTTCTCTCCTGTGGTTTCCTGGTACCCCAGAACTACTCCTCTCTCACTCAACAATGGCTTGCTTGCTTCCTTCCCTCTTTCCTTTTCCTTTCTTTCTTTTCTTTCCTCCCTTCCTCTTTCCTTCCCTTCCTCCCTTCTTTTTCCCTTTCCCTCCTTTTATTTATTTCTTTTTTTTTGAGACAGGGTCTCACTGTGTAGCCCAGGCTGGCCTGGAATTCACTGTGTAGCTCAGGCTGGTCTCAAAGTAAGGGGACTTTCTGTGCCAGCCTCCTGACTGCTGGAGTCACAGGCATGAGCTCTCACACTCAGCTCAGACAATGGTTTCTTGTTCAGTCTAGGTTCTGAAGGATACCTGACAGGCTATGAGGACACCTGAGACCCCCATCTCCTCTGTGCACCCCAACTGTGTCACACACTCTTGGCACCTGCACATTCCACCATGTTCAGC